CTTAGAGTTCCCATCTTAACTTGTCCTTCTTAAAACTTCAACTTAGAGGTCTTTCCTTAACTTGTCCTCCCTGGGACTTTTACTTAGAGTTTCTATACTCAATCTTGGTCAAACATCCTAAGTCTCCCGTAGTTCGTATCGCTCTGATACGAATTTGTAACACCCCACTTTTCTATCTCTTAAACATAAATCTAAACCACAATTATCATAAACTAAGCAGCGAAATTAAATAGCTAAAAGATAACTAGTGGGAATGTCACCGCCACAACCACCACTCCGTGGTGATTGCACAGGCTAAGGGGTAGAACTAGAAACAAAATAAATATATAACATCCATAATATAAACTGAAATCATAAGGGGAAAAAGATCACCCCAAAAGTTTACATCATCAAAGTCTACAAATCAACATAAGTCTAAAATCTGGATAATAAAGTCATGAACAAAGGATAAGAGTTTAAACATCTCAAACTACGAGACAAATCTAACTCGATCACTTCTCACTGTTGGGCCCACTTGAAAGGGGTTTTGCAAGCAACACATAGACAAATAGGAAAACACTCGTTAGCACGAAGCTAAGTATAACCACACTCAACCCTGTAAAGTACTATAGAATATACTTTGAAAACATTTGATTTCACTTGTATACAACAATCTCATCTCATCTACATCTTTAGATTTATTACATACTTTCTAGATGCTTGCAACCTATAATATCAACAGACATGCTTCGATAGATAAGACTTAACAACTTTGATACTTCAACATGTAAACTTCACAACAACTCAACAAGCAACTCATGCTTACAAGTAGTATCATGCTAATAACCATACAACAGGTATTCTCAAATTCTTATCACATAAAATGGATATACAAGGCTTCAAATGTAACTAAACAAACATGCTTGATAAACATTCTTAAATTAACATACTCATTACACAATCTCATACGATATTCTACTCAAATGCAAACTTGTGCAATACTATAGTCATATGCAATCTCGTGCAACACTATAAAATACTCATATGCAATCTCGTGCAAAACTATACTCATGCTCATATGCAATCTCGCGCAATACTATAAATATATACTCATGTACACTCGTTGTAAAAAATAGAGTACTTTCTGTGGAGGTCTCATTGAGTCTCTCTTGACTCGCTTTCTTTTTCTTGAGTCTCTCTTGACTCACTTTCTTTTCTCTTGAGTCTCTCTTGACTCACTTTCTTTTCTCTTGAGTTTCTCTTGACTCACTTTCGTTTCACTGTAGCGTGAATTGCCCCATCGGGAGTGGCGTAAATCCGACCCAATATCTCCTACCGTCTACGGAACCAATCTTGTGGTTCTCACTCTGTGGAATCAGGTATCGAACTATTAGTGTGCACACCCCTTAACCAGGATTCCAAGCCTAGCAGGCAGTTTCCAACCTCGTAACGTGGGAATACGTCGCGTTACATATACTGGGACCGCAATGTCCATAAATATCTCCCGAGATGACATAGTCCAAACGGTATCCTCCAAAACCTCACCAATATAGATAATGCATAAATATATCTGTTAGAAAAATAATTATTTGTAGCTCAAATCCATCCACCACCATGTAGCAGCCCCACGTAGACCAACGGCATTCACGTCTCCGATTTTGGCTCTCTGCATGACGCTTGCTTTCAATTTCATTTAGTATAAATAGACTTCTTTCTTTGCTTTGTAAATGCACCTCTTATCAACATCAATTTGAATTCATCTTTATCCTATTCTTTCTTTACGTAGCATATATATATATATATATATATATATATATATATATATATATATATATATATATATATATATATATATATATATATAGGGTGGCCTTCAAGTGAGAACTCATCTTTAGGTAAGAACATAGGAACTAATCCAAGCCCTACAATTTTGCTTAATCAATGGTCTAGATAATTAAGCATTTTTATTTACATCTTACACGTTCTTAATTAAAAAGGTTATAAGTGTAATTTATTCCAACTAACAAATAAAAACAAATATTATATTTGGATTCTTCCCTTGATTTTAGGATGACAAGATAAGCAAGGATTCTAATGATTGTTGGATTTGCATTCCACTAGTTTACGACAGGGGATGAAGGACGTCAGTTCAGCACTCGAACAGTCTCGGAGAGTGATGCCGACAAGCGTTCATCGGCGGTTGGTGCAGGACAATGGCTAGCGGCGAAAACATGGGTAACATTAAAAATTGTTCCTATATAGCTGTGCATACGTCCAATTTGGATGTATTTGAACACATACATTCGTGTTATTCCGTGGAAGCCTATAGGTGACTGAAAAGAGCGGCTGCGTTTATAAACACTGTTATTTGGTTGGGAATGTTGACCAAGAGGATTCTGCAGATTTGGGTGGGTATTACATATAATGGTTCTGCCATTTTTGAAGATGTAACGTTACAACACACACTGAAACACGCAAGTGCACACACAAATGCTTTTGGTCTTAGAAAACACACGAATTCAGCAAAGAAGGGCACACACTACCTTACCCAAGTGCACAATCTAATGTTTCCCGACTTGTCATACACACGTTAATCCTGCATATTTGGGCATACACTGTGTTACACAAGTGCACACACAAATGCTTTCTATCTTAACATGCACACACAAAGCTATCATAGAGTGGCACATACTACTTTCCCCAAGTGCACACACTATACCAACATGGGTTGAGTGCACTGCTGGGGTAATGAGTGTGCAACTTCGGCCACAGAAACCCCCAACGCGTGCACCTTGGTCTGGATGTTTGTGCCACAGTGGTTAACCACATTTGAAGTAAATAATGAGTTCCATATTCCACAGGTCATGGTTGCACATATGGGAGTTCATTTGGGTGTTTGATGAATATCTCACCTGGATAAACGAAGTACCGGACACTAGAGGGTGAAGAGTAATTAAAGCATGTGGTTGGGCAGCGGTTCACAAAGTTAGAATCAAGAATTGAATTCTACACAATGTACACAACTACAACAGGATTTGATGTGCGGTGAGCGACTGAGAAAAAGCGATGGTAGGGTGAAATCATATGGAAGTACGTGTTGTGTTCACAAGATAGGTTCAAATTGGAGAATCCGAAATTAGAGTATAATTATGTGTACGTTCTAGTAGTCACCGTCAGGAATGGATAATCCAAAATTAGAGTGCACATGGGTTATGCGGTGTGTGACAAAGTGTGCAGCTATATTGACAGTTTGATTCCACTAAAATGGAGAATTTGCAGACAGTGTGCACATGGGTTATGCGGCAAGTGCCAAAGTGTGGAACCGTACTGCAGTTTGATTCCTTGGAAACTAGTATGAGTTGCGGCACTAGGGTGTGCACTTGGGGCTCACGTGAGTCCCCTAACGCCTATAATTAGTTTATGGCCTAAAAGGCATGAAAAAACGTGGTGTGTACTTGGTTTACACCATGTATGCCATACTGTGAAGCGTTATGGTGGCCATGAACTAATGTGCACATAGTTTAGTGTGTGCGTTCCACTGTGTGCCAAAATGCGGCTTTTTATTGAACTATGCGTGTCATAATGTTCCAAAAAAACATTAGTTCGAATCCAAACAACTTAGGGCATAGTGAAAGATACCGTTGTGCACGTGTTAAATTGCATGTGCCATAATGTACAGAAGGAGCATTTGGATGAATAGTCGGTGACCGAGATGTTGTGCAGATTGGTCATACTGTGTGTGCCATACTGCATTGTGTGTGCCAATCTGAGCAATAGTAGCCATTGGTGTGTACTTGAGGATCGCGTGTGTGCCATATTTCCCATAATAAGTAAGCAAACAAAAATACGTACAAGAAGGTGGTGAAAGATCACGTTGTCACATGGGTAAAACTGCGTGAGCCATACCTTGTGTGCAACATTACAACAAAACGTCATTAATTATGAGAAAATTGGCCCAAAAAGAAATTATAAACAAATAAAAGACGCACTATCAAATACCATAATCAGAATTTCTGAATGTACCCAAGTGTAATAAACTAAACAACTGATAAACTAACTATAGATGAGCACACATAGCTAAATTTGTTAGAGGCCGGCACAGTATTCAACAACGCTAAGAATGATGTTGGAACGGTGAATGTTAATCTCTGCCGACAAAATCTGACACATATAAGACATCCTCAACAGATCAAGCCCCTAGTATCACCCTTTTGCAAGCCACAATCCCATGCATTCACTTATTGCCCCAAAAAGGTCTTCATGTTCCGCATCACAATGACACCACAATCTACTTTGTTACGTGCATCACGCCAACACATCGGCATCCTTCTAGGGACAATCCTCCGTAAGAAAGCCCCATACCGATCATCAAGGAATACAGACAACAAATCTTTCTGACAAGCATTAGAAAACATAGCTGAAAAAATGAAACGCATAATAAAACATTGGGGATTAAATTAAAGTTGTATGACAAATGGTATACAGCTGTTTGAGCACTTAGGGAGATCTGTATGAGCCATAATGTGCAACCACAAAAATAACCAGGCAGTCGTGTGCATATGGGTCGTTCTCCGTGTGCCAAAACGTGCTTCATTTATTTACGTACATGAAAATGAGGGACTAGAAAGATGATGTGCCGTTGTGATGATTTGTGTGTGCCATACTGATGTACAAAACTGAAAGAATAAATACAGGATGACAACCAACAAAACAAACCGACCACGAACAAAACCACAACCCATATACAAGTGCACACCCACGGCCCGAATACAAGACTCCCGACATCAAATGACAACGAACAACCCCAACAAAAATTGGGAAAAATCTGAAACATGGGAGAATCGAAAAAGAAAAAAAATGCCATGGCCACCGACAACGAACACAACCCCAAACCACACACAACTACATACCCACACCCAATAATAGATGAAAAAAAATAGAATGATTAAAAAAAACATCAAACAACTCATAATAGCGCAGACAACGCAAATGAAAAAAAAAAAACAAACAAAAAAAAAAACCGACCATGAACGAACGACCTTGTCGCCGGACGATGATGTTTGGGATTCCTACCATGAACGTCGACCATCTAGCTGAGAACAAAATCAGTGAAACACAAGAGAGAACGACGAACAATTGGGTGCAGCAGTCGAGTTTACGAAGGAGTCCACCCAAATTCGAAATTACCATCTATAAATAGAAGCCTATTATCACGCCAACACACGCATTGATCAGCATTGGAAAATACTAAACTACCCCCACTTGCATTAAATTAAATCCCTTCAGCGTAAAAATAACCTAATTAAGCTATTAAAAAATATGGACCATTGATTGATTAAAATAAAAGGCTACGATTAGTTTCTATGTTCCTACCTAAAGATGGGTTCTTATATGAATCTAAATATATATATATATATATATATATATATATATATATATATATATATATATATATATATATATATATATATATATATATATATATATATTTATTTATTTATTTATATTTTCCCATTCTTAATAATTTATTTGTCATTTATATATTTTCCTTATTATTTAACTTCTATAATTCTCAATTTTAGATTCTTCGCTTCTGCATTATTCTGCTATATTCCTAACAAGTGGTATCAGAGCCAGGTTTAATTGAGAGTTATTTTCTGTCGATTGTTACCAAGTTCAATATCGAGAAGTTCGGCGGGAAAATTAGCTTTTCTATCTGGAAGGTTCAGATGGAAGCCGTTCTAACCCAGAACGGTTTGAAAAAAGCTCTAGCTGGGAAGAAGCAGAAACCGGCTACAATGACAGATGAAACTTGGGAAGATTTGGATGACAAGGCATGTTCAACCATTCTTTTGTGCCTGTCTAAAGAGTAGGGCTGTGCAAAAACTGACTCACCCGAAAAACCCGACCGACCCGAACCCGATTTTACGCACTTGGGGGGAATCCGAGTCCGAACTAGCATACCCGAACCGTTCACATGCCACCTAGCCAGTTAGAATGAGGCGGGTTGGGGGTTATAAAATCCCCCCGAACCCGTCCGACAACCCCAATTAGGGTAAAACTGCGTAACTATACCCTAAGGTATACGACGTCGTGTAATCGGTGTATATATGTTGCCTTAGAAGGAAACCCTACTCATTTGCGCAGCTTCCTCGTCTTTCTTCTGACTTCTGAGAACTCTATAGACTCGTTCTCTCGTGAGTCTCGTCTTTTTTCTCTGAAATCTGAAACCCTAGTTAGTTCTTACTTCTTTCTTCTCCAGATCTCTGACTCTGTGAGACTCTGAGTCTCTGAGTTCTCTCTGAGTTTCTTCTAGAGTTGTAGACTAGCTCAGTTAGAGACTGAGAGTGTGAGTCTCCGGTGGAAGCTAGCTAATATTGTTCGGTGGAAGCCCTATTCTGGATGACCGGTGGCCGGTGCGGTGGATTTTAAATTGCTGTCACGGTCTCACGGATTTGAATCCCTTTGTTCTCGGGGGTTTGATTTGGAGAAACGAAGTAATCTCTAAACCCTAATCTTAGATTATACTCTTATATATTGTGATACGTTGTTGTTAGTTGTGATTCTATGATTCTTATGACTGTGACAATGTGAATCTGTTGAGAAGTTCCGGATTGCATGTCACTTGTCCCTTATTTGTGAATTTTTGAGCCTTTGTTTAGGGTTTCTATGATTATGTGGACTGTGACAATGTCAATCTGTTGAGAAGTTCCAGGTTGCATGTCACTTATCCCTTATTTGTGAATTTTTGATACTTTGATTAGAGTTTCTATGATTATATGGACTGTGACATTTTAGAATCACTTAGTTGTGATTGTTTGTGGAAGCCCCTAAGTCCCTAACACCTGTTGATTATACTTTGTTTGTATTGTTTGTGGAAGCCCCTAAGTCCCTAACCCCTGTTGGCTGTTGGATGTTGCCTGTGTTGGTGAAAATGGTGGAAGCCCCAATTGTAACTACGAACTGTGAAATCCAGTAAAATGATGAATGTACACTTCAGGCTTTCACCATCCTGATTTCTAGATTTCTTTGTCACTTTGTGTGATTAATGTGATACTGTGATTGTATCCATGTATGCCTGTATGTTACTATGTTTATAACTTATAAGTTATAAGTTTATGGATGTATGACCCTTAATAGTTAATTCCTTAAAGTCCCAATTATGAAATTTAGAAAAATGATGAAGTTAGGAAGTGCCTGTCTTCTGATTCTGGATTTCTCTAATTCTGACATTCATTGAAATGGTTCCCACTGTACTGATAGTATTCCATTTCTTTAGATGGAAAATATCATAGAGTCTGGTAGTCAACCTTCCAACTCTTCACTTCATGGATCTACAGTGGTGGAAGCTCAGACTGTTGAGAAAAATAATGATCAACAGAATGTGCAACCTACTACTGCGGTTCTTCCGAAGAAAAGAAAGGTAGTTGAATCCAGATCTCCTGTGTGGGATCATTTTGAAAAGATTGTTGATGAGAATGATGTTACTGTTGAGGGAAAGTGTATATATTGTGCCAAAATATATAAATGTGAGGCCAAAAAACATGGTACTTCATCATTGAGAACCCACATGTTTAACTGTCTTAAAAACCTCACTCAAAAGACACTAGGCAATCACTTCTGACCTTTCAAGCTGTTACCAATTCTGATGCATCTCCTGCTACTGTTGGTGAGTTAGGAACTTGGGTCTTTAATCAAGAAGCTATTAGGAAGGCCTTAGTTGAAATGATTATAATAGATGAACTCCCATTTAGATTTGTTGAAGGTCCTGGATTTAGGAAGTTCATTCTGGTATGTTGTCCTAGGTTTAAGATTCCATCAAGATGGACAATTAGTAGGGACATCAATTTGATTTATGAAGAGGAAAGGCTCAAGTTGAAATGCATGTTTAGGGGAAACACTCAAAGAGTCAGTATTACTATTGACACTTGGACTTCTATTCAGAGAATTAACTACATGGTAGTTACTGCTCACTTAATAGATCAAGAGTGGAGGCTGAATAAAAAAATTATTTCATTTGTCCCTGTCACATCACACAAAGGTGAGTCTGTTGCAAAATCCCTTGAAAATTGTTTGCTGGATTGGGGTATTAGAAATGTCTACACTATTACAGTTGACAATGCATCATCAAATGACACTGCCCTAGGTTTTTTTTTTTTTATAAAAAAATTGATGTCTTGGGGAACATCTACTGTGAAGGGCAAGTACATTCACATGAGATGCATTGCCCATATTTTGAATTTAGTTGTGCAAGATGGGCTAAAACTGTGTGATGATTCTGTGAAGAAGGTTAGGGATGCTGTAAGGTATGTGAGAAGTTCACCTGCTAGACTTAAGAAATTTAAGGACTTGTCTGAATGGCTTGGATTGAAAAGAAATCTTCTCTGTGTATAGATGTTCCAACCAGATGGAACTCTACAAATCTTATGTTACAATCTGCAGTATTTTATGAGAAAGTGTTTTATTCACTTGAAGAAAGTGATTCTTCCTTCAAATCAGATTTAGGTGATTCTATTCCTAACTTTCTTGATTGGGAGTCTGTGAAGAGTTTGGTGAATCTGTTGAAGTGTTTTTATGATATGACAATAAGAATTTCAAGTTCTTTATATGTCACATCTAACACTTTTTTTTTTCTGAAATTTCTGATTTATATTGCCTATTGAATGGAATGGTGGAAGCTGGTGGTTCTGTGAAATTGATGGGGGAAACTATGAAGGTTAAATTTGAAAAGCATTGGGGGGATATAGATAAGATGAACTTGATGATATTCTTTGCAAACATTCTTGACCCCAGGGACAAATTAGAGTACATGCCAGCACAGATCTTACACATGTATGGTGAATTAAAAGGTAAAACCTACTATGAGAAAGTGGTTGCAGCTTTTACAGAGTTGTTTGATGATTATGCTGCCTCTGTTGTCCCTATTGCTCCTGTTATTCCTTCTACTGTTATTCCTACTGTTTCTGTCATCTCTTCTACTGATTCTTCACAGTCTAAAGTTGGGAAGCCCCAGGGTTTGTTAAAGTCACAGATTAAGAAACAAAGAATGGAGAGTGGGGGAAAGAAAAAAACTGAGTTGGAAATTTACCTTGCTGAGGCATTAGTTGAAGAAGAATCTTCTTTTGACATACTTAGATGGTGGAAGCTGAATGCTGAAAGATTTCCTATCCTTTCAAAAGTAGCTAGGGATGTCTTAGCTATACCAATATCCACTGTTGCCTCAGAATCTGCCTTCAGTACACCAGGGAGGGTTTTAGATCCTTTTAGGAGTTCTTTAACTCCTAAAATTGTGGAAGGTTTGGTTTGTACTCAGGATTGGCTTAGACTGCCTAATACCCCCATATCAATTGAGGAAAATCTGGAGGAATTGGAGAGATTTGAACAAGGTAACATACAAACACTTAACTTTCCTGCATTTTCTATTTACTTTTATTTTAAACTTGTCCTTGTATTTGCAGAATTGGGTGCTGATGGTGGGAGTGGAGCTGGGAGGATTGGTGGTTCTACACTTCCTATGATTCCTGTAATGTTATGCTTTATACTTTATACTACTTTATATTCTTGCATTAATGTAATTTGTATACTGTATTACTCGTGACTCATGAGGCTTGGTAACTAATTACTAATTAGTTGCTGCCTAGTTGTCCAGTTGTCCTAATGAGGCTTGGTAACTTACTAACTTGTTGGTTGCTGCCCTTGGACCTTGGTGCACTGGACAGTGCCACAGTGGTATAACTGTTAGTTGATAAGTTTGTTGTTGGACTCAAGGGTGATGTACTGCTGGTAATGTATCATTGTATTATGTATTTAAGACTTTAAATAATTTAACTATTTGTTATGGTAATGATGAAAGCTTCCACCAATGATCTGAAATAAGGGATTAAGCTGGTATGTTGCTCTATCCTCATGGGGATGTTGTAGCAATTTGCCTTTAATCCTAACTTTGATATGGACAAAAAGCTTACTGAGCCAATGTTTAATATCTTATTTTCTACCTTTTATAGTTTTATATCTTATTTTGTTTTTGCTAATTCATCTTAAGTTTTGAGTATTGACAGGAAGAAGAAGAACAGTAGGCTAGAGCTAAAGTAGGAACTACTGAGCTAGGAAGTAGGAGTCTAGGACTCTAGGATGATGGATTGATGGATCAGTTGTGGCATGTTGGATATTTTTTGTATTACTGTAATTTTGGTGATTTGGTGCAATGGTGCTTGCTGCAGTGTTTTTTAGAAATTGGCTACTTTTACAATTTTAAATTTTGTATAAGCTAATTCATAATTGCCCTTGCCCATTTGACTTTTTGGAGTCTAACTGTCTAAGTACTAGTTGTCTAGTTTACTAGTTTTACACTTATACAGTTATAAAGTTTACATGTAGTTTGTGCACAGTGCACTACATGTTTTTGTAAATTTTTTCAGTTTTACTTAATTTTTACGCGTTTTAGTCAATTATTTAATTTTGTTTTTATATTTTAAATATTAGAGATGCGTTCGGATATCCGACCGACCCGTCCTCAACCGAAATCCTATAAAACCGAAAAGATATTACAAATTGATACAATGAGATTGGGTTTAAAAATAATAATCCGAAATCCGTGCGGTTTAGCCCTCCGAGTATCTGAACCGAACCGAACCGTCCGACGCACAGGCCACTAAAGAGGTTCTACATGAAATAGTAAGTGAGACGACTGCGTCAGATTTATGGTCCAAGCTGGATACGCTTTACATGGCCAAAACTGTGGCGAACATGCTACGCCTGAAGGAGCGTCTGTACACAATCCGTATGACGGAAGGTTCTATTAAATCTCACTTGGATGAATTCAGTTCTATTTTATTGGACTTAGAAAATATTGATGTCGTAATTGAAGATGAGGATCGCGTTGTTTTATTGCTTGTCTCTCTCCCTAAATCATACAAGCATTTCAAAGAAATTATGCTGTAGGGTAATAGTAGTGATACCCTTACTTTCGACAGTGTTAAGTCAAACCTATTGTCCATAGAAAAGTTTGACTTTGAAATTAAGTCTGTGGACAAAGGTGAAGGCTTGACTGTAAGGGGTCGTTCACTTGAATCAGGGAGTAGCAATAAAAATTCTAGATCCAAGTCCAAAGGACACAAGTCCAAAAAATCCTGTAAGTACTGCAAGAAGCAGGGTCATGATGTGACTTGACGCTTCAAGTTGAAAAACAAACAAGAGAGAGAAAAGAAGTCAGCTGAAGCTAGTGTTGTTGAAAGTGATTTAGAAGGCGATGTTATGTTATCTGTCAGCTCCGGTTGCAAACGGAGTGAAATCGAGTGGATTCTAGACTCTGGTTGTACATTCCACATGTGCCCTCACAAAGACTGGTTCGTCTCTCTGGAACCGGTTGATGGTGAAGTTGTCTTGCTAGGTAATGATATTCAATGCAACGTTAGTGGAATTGGAAGTGTGCAGATTAAAACTCATGATAACGTTGTTAGGACTCTTACCAATGTTCGATATATTCCTGATTTGAAACGCAATTTGATATCCTTGGGCACTTTGGAATCTCTGGGGTGCAAGTACATAGCTGAAGGTGGAGTTCTAAAGGTCATCAAAGGCTCTCTTGTTCTCATTAAAGCTTCTCGTTCTGGAAGCTTGTATGTCTTGCATGACAGTACTGTGACAGGTTCAGTAGCGGTATCCTCATCGATGTCTGATGCGGATCTCACTCAATTATGGCATATGCGTCTGGGGCATATGAGTGAGAAAGGCATGCATATCCTGAGCAAGAAAGACCTCCTTGGTGGTTCAGGTACAGGTAAATCACAATTTTGTGAGCATTGTGTTTTTGGGAAACAAAAGAGTGTTAGTTTCTCTACTGCTACACACCGTACCAAAGATGTATTGGAATACATACATTCTGATTTGTGGGGACCAACTAAATTTCAGTCTTTGGGAGCCGGTAGATATTTTATGTCTATTATTGATGACTTTTCTCGTAAGGTCTGGGTCTATTTCCTGAAACATAAAAATCAGGCATTTTCTATGTTCAAGAAGTGGAAAATACTTGTTGAGAATCAGACAGGTAAAAAAGTCAAGAAGCTCAGGACAGACAATGGCTTGGAGTTCTGTGAGTCAAATTTCAATGACTTTTGTGCGGCACATGGAATCGCCAGGCACAAGACCTTGCCTGGTAAACCCCAGCAGAATGGTGTTGCCAAACGTTTGAACAGGACTCTATTGGAAAGGGCTCTTTGTATCCTCTCTAATGCTGGGTTATGGAAACAGTCTGATTTTTGGGCCGATGCCATTTCTACTGCTTGCTATTTAGTAAATAGATCTCTACATTCATCTCTTGATTTCAAAATTCCAGAGGAAGTTTGGTCAGGTAATCCTATTGACTACTCTATCTTAAGAGTTTTTGGATGTCTTGCTTATGCTCATTCCAGTACGGGTAAATTAAACCCGAAAGCTGTCAAATGCATTTTCCTTGGTTATGCCTCTAAGTCAAAAGGGTATCGTTTATGGTCTCCTAATTCTCAGAAAATCATTCTGAGCCAAGATATCACTTTTGACGAAAATGCACTACTTTCTTCTGGAAAAGCTCCCAGTACAGGTGAGACGCAAAATACTGGTGAGAAGGTGGAGTTTGAGTTCAGGCCTACTGATAGTATTACTACCATTGATGGTAATACTAAAGATGATGCATCTACTAGCACCGCACCTCTCGTTGAGCCACAACGAGAGTATTCCATTGCTATGGATCTTCCTAGGAGGACAATTAAAAAACCTGCTAGGTATGCTAGTGATGATGAAACCAATATGGTTGCTTACGCTCTTTCAGTCACACAAGAAGTTGATGGTGATCCATCTTGTTATTCTGAGGTTCTTCTTGTTGCTAAGTTCAAGCCGTGCTTGAGTTTAGTCGGACTGTTCTAGTTGATAATTCCCACAGTGGATTTGATCCAAGGTGGAGATTGTTAGAAAAACAATTATTTGTGGCTCAAATCCATCCACCACCATGTAGCAGCCCCACGTAGACCAACATCCACGTTGCACACTCCAGCATTCACGTATTCCAACGGCATTCACGTCTCCGATTTTGGCTCTCTGCATGGCGCTTGTTTCCAATTTCATTTAGTATAAATAGACTTCTTTCTTTGCTTTGTAAATGCACCTCTTATCAACATCTATTTGAATTCATCTTTATCCTATTCTTTCTTTACGTAGCATATATATATATATATATATATATATATATATATATATATATATATATATATATATATATATATATATTTATTTATTTATTTATTTATTTATTTATTTATTTATTTATATATTTATATATTTTCCCATTCTTAATAATTTATTTGTCATTTATATATTTTCCTTATTATTTAACTTCTATAATTCTCAATTTTCGATTCTTCGCTTCTGCATTATTCCGCTATATTCCTAACAATATCTCTCATGCATCAATCTCATGCATGAAACAACTTCTCAACTTCTCAATGCATCAAGTAATGATATACCACATAATGATGGATTTTTGAAAGTAATACTTGTGCTCACATTGGCCCTTATGCATTTTTGAAATATGATATGTGTGAGATGCAAAAATACTCTATAACATGCTACTAATCCATGTATATAAACCATAAAATACTCAAGGATATAATATCATGCTCGGTTTGCAACATAGCAAATTCTATACATTTTTATTTACAAATATGCTTCAATCCTCATTAATCAAATATCACATTTTAGTCATGCTTTCATAATAAATCATATTCTCAAAAGATCCTGCTTCTCTACTCAATACAAAATCTCATCAGATCACATAGTCAAGCGTTTCTCATACACAGTGAACTTAGCAAAACATGTATTGTGTAGCAAATCCTTCACAAATCCTTCGTAACATATACTCATTTTTTATCCAAATTCAACGAAATCAAAGCCAAAACGTGCGTCGAGACGATCCCGAGGTAACCTGGCCCGAAACGACACGTAACTGAGCCACAAGGGCCCGACCACTGCAAAAATTCCTCCCAGGTCAATACTCAGGGGCCTGGGGCGGGACTCCTCATGAGCCGCACCATGTGCCCCGTTACAATACCGGGACTAGGCGGCGGCCCTCCTCTAGAGCCGTGCCCTAGTCCCGTGTAACTCCGGCTCTAGCTGGCGGCCCTCCTGATGGGCCGCGGCTAGGGCCGCTGGTCTGGTCTGGTGCATACTGTGTGTGCACCAGATGATATTTTCATCTGCAAAAACAATCCAAACAAGTCCAAAACATTCCCAACAACTCAAAGACAAATACTAAATCACTTTCAAGCATGAACACAATAAAATTCCATAATTTTTACTCATTTTTACTCAATAAAGAGGCTTCACAGAGCCAAATTTAAGAGGGAGTCCATGGGGTTATACCTCTTTTTGCCTCTTCTTCTTGCTTGGATCCCCTCTTGCTATCTACTTAGCTAGCTCCTCCTACACTTCCTAAATTCCTCCAACAAACCATACAAACAACATATAAGGGAGGAACCTCAGGGTTTCAAGGCAAAGAGATGAAAACAATGAGGAGGAAGATGAATGGTGGCTAAGGGAAACTTACTGTGTTTGTTTTCTCCTTCCACAAAGAGCTCAAAGAGAGGCAAGGAAATGGGATCAGGAAACAACATTGGAGTAGTGAGGCTTATATAGGGTCCAAAACCCAAGGTTGATCATCAATGATTGGTTGTGGGCAAAGGAGTAATTTTCATAGGTGAGGAGAGGAATCAGGAAGAAAATTTTGGATGTCTAATGGTTCACCATGCTCCATGGACCAAGGGCTAGAAATGCTATTTTAAATACTTTGGGGTTGAAAATGAATTTTATCAAAAAGTTATCTAGATGAAATCTTGTTTAAAGTCTTTTTGAATTCTCCCGGTTTCACTCAGATTGATTTTTCGGTTTAAAACTTGATACGCGAAGTACCCGAAAATTTAGGATTTTGGAATAAAATAAGTTTTGGTGTCGAATTAATTTAAAATGTGACGAAAATAATTTATTCAAACACCAATTGATCGCAAAAATTTTTAATGGAGTGAAAATGACTATTTTGGAATTTCTTAAAATTGGATTTATAAAATTAAATTTTGAGTTGTTACACGACCAGTGTGTCCTCGTCGTCCTGATCGTCCTCTTTAGACTCCTCTGAGGACGACTCTGTATCGTTGTTTCTTGAAAAGAAGGAGAGGAAGGTTAGCCCAAGTTCTTTACCCAGTAAGCAGTCAAGTAAGGTGGAAAGAGTGAACTTGTTCTTGAGGCGCCTTTCGGAAAGATATCATCCTTTATCATGGCCCCCAATCGTGACCACCGCCGGGCCGAGAGAAGCTCACCCTTGGTGATCCACTTGACCAGATCAGCTAAGTTGTCTGGGCAGGGTGGCCTCTTCTCCAAGCGGAAGTACGACTATTGCCAAGCAGTCGGGAAGTCAAATGCTGGGTGGCAGTCTACCGGGCAGACGAAGAGGAATTCCTCCTTGTTGACTCAAAGTATTTTGTCAAAGTTATGTGCAAAAAGAATTCCAGTTCTATAAAGGAATATCAGTACTAAGAGGAATAGTTATTGAAGAATACTAGTTCTAAGGGGATTTGTTGTTGAAGATTTTCTAGTTCTATTTTGATTAGGAATAGTTTGTTATTCACGAATCTGTTAGGAATAGCTACTATAAATAGGGGATGTCTTTTATTGTAGACCTCAAGCATTCAACATCTAATTGTGAGGTACGAGAGTCTTTGAGAATAGGATACTAAATTCCCCTAGAAAGTAGTACATGTGTTTAGGTTTCAATAGTTTGGTAGGAAAGATCATTCTATTGTGTAATCTCAGGTTCCAAACAGTGTACTTTAAATATTGAGCTTTTAGTGGATTTAGGCAAGTTCTCAAATTGAGAAGTGCCTCGCAGATTAGGGTTGTTTGCCCGAACTGCGTTACAGATCGTTTGTGTTACAACGTCAGTTTCAACATCACTGTGTGCTGCGTTTTACAAATTTTCAATTGGTATCAGAGCCAAACTGCTTAAATTATTAGCAGGATCCTAATGGAGTTTCCCAGAGAAGGACTGTCAAGCACCAGGCCCCCTGCTCTCTTTGGTACAAATTTCTCCTACTGGAAAGCTAGAATGAAAATCTATATTTTGGCACAAGGAGAAGGAGTTTGGGAAGCCGTTGAGAAAGAATGGAAGAATCCAGTTGATGATAAAGGTAATCAAAAACCTAAAGCAGAATGGAATGAAGAAGAGCGAAGAGAATATAATTACAATTCAAAAGCAATGAATGCCATATATGGAGCGGTAAGTGAAGATACTTTCAAACTAATCGCTACCACTGGCATAGCTAAAATTGCATGGGATATACTATGTGATCATCACGAAGGAAATACTTCTGTTAAGCAATCCAAGCTGCAAATGATACAAACACAGTTTGAGAATTTAAAAATGGAAGAAGATGAGGATATCTCACAGTTTAGTGCAAGAGTTTTAGGGATTGCTGGAGATGCGTTTAACCTAGGCGAACCTATTCCTGAACCTAGGCTCGTCAAAAAGGTCCTACGTTCCTTACCTGAGAGATTTATGATAAAGGTTACAGCCATCCAAGAAAACAAAGATCTAAACACCTACAAACTCAGTGATCTAATGGGAAATCTTCAAACATATGAGCTTGAGATATTGCAAAAACGGAAAAATAATGACAAAGGAATTGCGCTCCAATCAAAGCAGAAAGAGAGTCCAGAAATTGATACTGAAACCATGGAACAATCAATTGCTCCCCTAACAAAGAATTTCAACAGAGTTCTCAAAAAATTCAACAAATTTAGAAGCAAAAGTGCTTCAATCAATCAAGGGAACTTCCCAACTGGACAAAATCAATCTATTTCAAAAGGAAGGGAGAGTCTAAAACCTGAAGGAATTCAGTGCTACGAGTGCAAAGGGTTTGGACACATCCAGTCAGAATGTCCAACATATTTTAAAAGGAAGAACAAAACATATGTGGCAACACTAAGCGATGACTCAGATAGTGAAGAAGACACCAACACTAATTTCGTAGCATTCACCACAAATCATGAGAATGACAACGAAAACGAAAATGATATGCAAGAACTGCTAGAGTCATATACCCAATTGTATGCTAAATGGGAACAAATCATCAAAGTGAATCTAGAGCTCATGCAAGAAAATCAGTTTCTAAAAGGTGAAAAAGATAGAGAAGAAAAGCGCCTCAAAGAAACTCAAAATGAATTATTAGAATCTAAAAACAGATTGGCCAAACTGTTACAAGAAATCAAGGCACTAGATGGAAGGCCTAGATCTCCAAATCCAGCTGTAACACCCCGTGTTACGAATCCTAAAACCAGCTGATTAATTAATTAATTAATAACCCAGGAGAAAGAATAAATTATAATGATTAATTAGGGAAAAAGGCCACCATAGCCCATGGGCCCAATTATATAAACCCAACCCCTAACCCCAATAGGAATAAACTCTAAATAAACCCTTAGATCTATAAATAGGGAACTTAGGGAGCACCTAGAACCCCCACATGCCTAGACGCCCCACCACCCCAGGAGAGCTCCAAGAATTCCCTTAGAAGAAATCAAGAAAGCAAGAGAGCTTAAAGAAAGATCATTCATAGCCAAGGAATTAATTAAGGCTAAGAGGTAACCCATGTCTCAACAAAACCTATTTTCATAGCTATGATTTCCCCTTAGGGTTTCCCCCGTATGATTGTGAATGGCGAATTACTATGATTATTATTGATGTTGATTTAATGATTCCATGGGGAATCTTGGTAATCTTGATATTGGGAGTTTCTTGATAATCGGGATGTTCTTGATGATTAATTGGGATTCTTGATGATGATGTGCTGTTCTTGATGATTATGTTGTTCTTGATGATTAATTGCTATCCTTGATGATATGTGTTGTTCCTACCGAATCTTGCAATTAGAAGACGAATCGTATTCTTGTGGATATAAAAGTGATTAGAACCCTATGTTGTATCGTATGATCTTATTCTTGGATTATCGGGTGGGAAATCGCATGTTTGGGTGTTGATTATGATTAGAAAAGCATGTTAGGTTATGTGCCGTTCGTCTATCGTAATTGATCCGTTAATTGTCTATGAGTTGTCGTTAATTACGTTGAAAAGTGTCTAAGCATGGTTTCGGGTTCCACAACGGTTCCCGGAGCGAAAAGTGATGAAAAGAGTCAGTGGGGGGTAGGTGGGGGGTAGGGGACCCACCACCTACCCGTGGCAATTCGGGCAGCTCCGGCAGCGGGCAGCCGGCGGGCGGGCAGCTGCCCGCCGGGCACCCGCTGCCCGGAACAGTGTCAGCCGGCGGGCAGCCGGTGGGTGGACCACACCCACCGGCTACCCGCTGGAATTTCTCCCACCTCGGGACCCCGGCTTCCCTGTTTGATGTTTCCCCGATCCCCGTGGTGTTCCAATGGACCCCGTTTGTCGTGCCTATGTCTAGTTTGATGTTTTGGGTACCGTTCGTAGGTTTATGAGTCCGTTATATCGCATGCTAGTTGAATGGGTATCCCGTTGACCTAGGTGAAAGAAGTATGAACCCCTTAGGACTATTCTTAGTATGTGATGGATCACGCATAGGTTTGTTATACGCTTTATCCCCCCTTCCCAATGTGTAATGTGGGTTGCATGTGCTTGCTATGTGTTATGTGTGTGTGTTACCCCAATTCGGTTGCGATCGGATTGGTTATCCTGAGCTGCGGTTCAGAAGCTGGCTGCGGTCAGATGGGTATTCCTGGCTGCGGTCAGATGACATTCTCTTGGGCTGCGGTCCACCGTTTGGTTGCGATCAAACGTTTCTATACGAGCTGCGGTTCGTCCTTTATCCTGGCTGCGGTCAGATGACACTCTCTTGGGCTGCGGTCCACTGTTTGGTTGCGATCAAACATTATGATGAGCTGCGGTTCATCGGTCGGTTGCGATCGACCTCCCCGTGTTGCGATATGGGGCATGGTGCTGCGGGGCCGTGTCAGAGCTATATGCGCTGACCCTCATGTATGGGCATGCGATTGGTCCTGTGGCGCCAACAAAGTGTGTTATGTGTTGTGATACGAATGAGTTGTGATTATGAGAGTCTTAGGGGCTGTGACTAAGGGATTTACATTGGGGATTGTTCATGTCGGGTTATGATTATTGTTTATGCTTTGCCTTATCTACCTTATCTGTTGTGAACTGCATATGCTCGTTATAACTGTTACTTGTGTCTGGCCTTATCTGTCGAGTCATTCCCGGTTTTAAAAGCTAGAGTTCGTAGGACATATCTTCATGCTCATAATGGTTTTCGTATATCTATATATATCTCTATATGTATTGTATTTCAACGCGTTGGAGTGGGTTACCAGCATCTCTCGCTGAACAGATATATTTGGCTTTCAGGCACAGAAGAATAAGTCACTGGAGCGCGCTAGAACTCGGAACGTAGAAGTAGATAGTTCCCCTTTTCCGGCCTGCGTGCCATGTTATGCATTTACATTATTGAGGATATTAGTTAGTTAGCCTGTGCACCTGGGTTCTCTAGCTCAGGTGTGGCATAGCACCCCGTACACTTGTATTACGTTTTGGGATTTAATGAGATAATACCTTTATTTTGTGAGTTTTTAAATGTCTTAAAAATCTGGGGTGTTACACCAGCGTCCAGTGAAAGCCACTCTTCTGAAAATCCTGAGGTGTCACAACATCACTTTCAACACCGAAGGAGAATCAGATGTTATTACTGCCACAAATTGGGACACATAAAGGCATACTGCTTCAAAAGACAAAATGATCTCTATTACAGACAAAACAACAGAGATTGGACAGTACAAAGCAAAAATAACAGCAAGAAAGTATGGGTAAGAAAGGATCAAACACAAGCTGTTGCGTATACCTCAGAAACAAGCCAAGAACAAAGTGTTTGGTATTTTGACAGCGGATGTTCAAGACATATGACAGGAAATCCACATTATCTTGAGAATATCCAGTACAAAAATGAAGGGCATGTCACTTTTGGAGATGGAGGAAAAGGACAGATTATCGCAAGTGGTACCTTGAATGTCCATGGACTGCCCAGATTACCAAGAGTCTTTTTGGTACAAGGACTCAAAGCAAACCTTATCAGTATAAGTCAACTGTGTGATGATGAACTCAAAGTAGAATTTTCCAAAGAGAATTGTAAAGTCTACAACCAAAAACATGAATGTGTTATGATGGGGAAAAGATCATCTGATAAAAGCTACACATGGGATAGTGATCTAACCTGTCATTAATCTACCATCAATCAAACACCACTATGGCATCAACTAAGGGGGAGAAAGACAGAGACCAAGGTGTTTGCCAAAAATTTGACAAAGGGGGAGAATGTTGACTCAAAGTATTTTGTCAAAGTTATGTGCAAAAAGAATTCCAGTTCTATAAAGGAATATCAGTACTAAGAGGAATAGTTATTGAAGAATACTAGTTCTAAGGGGATTTGTTGTTGAAGATTTTCTAGTTCTATTTTGATTAGGAATAGTTTGTTATTCACGAATCTGTTAGGAATAGCTACTATAAATAGGGGATGTCTTTTATTGTAGACCTCAAGCATTCAACATCTAATTGTGAGGTACGAGAGTCTTTGAGAATAGGATACTAAATTCCCCTAGAAAGTAGTACATGTGTTTAGGTTTCAATAGTTTGGTAGGAAAGATCATTCTATTGTGTAATCTCAGGTTCCAAACAGTGTACTTTAAATATTGAGCTTTTAGTGGATTTAGGCAAGTTCTCAAATTGAGAAGTGCCTCGCAGATTAGGGTTGTTTGCCCGAACTGCGTTACAGATCGTTTGTGTTACAACGTCAGTTTCAACATCACTGTGTGCTGCGCTTTACAAATTTTCACTCCTTCCAACCCTTATGGGAGGATTCCAGCTTATCTAAAAACTTACGACTATCCTGAGAGCGGATCTGTACATGTCTCGGGGCGGCCGAACTGACTGCAGTGAGTCGAAAGAGTTGATGGAAGAGAGGCATAGAAGCCGGCACCTCAAGACGGTGGCAGTAGGTCAGGAAGGAAACAAGAAGTCGGTAAGAGTTGGGCACCAGCTGACCAGACACAATGCCATAAATTCGAAGGAGGAGGGAGAGAAACGGAAAAACCGGGACTTGAAAGCCACAACAGACTGACTGGTAAAGGATCCCCATGTAACACCCTTAATTTTTAAAACTTTTAAGCTTATGAAATAAAAGCAATCTAACATTAATAAACCAAACAGAGTAGAGACTACACAATAAAAGTCGGGGTGCTATGCCACATCTAAGCTTGAGAACTTAGATGCACAGGCTAACTAACTATACAGAACATAATCCAATTTTAATATCCAAAATACAAATCAAGGCAAGTAGGCCATCTACCAAGACTAAAGTTATCTAAGCTAGGTCCTCGTGTCCATCTAGCGTACTCCGAAGCTACTGATCTGCACCTGAAAAACATACGGTGTAACAACCATCAGGGAATAATGCTAGTAACCCACTCCCACGCGTTGAGTACAATATAGGTAGATATAAGAAAATCATTTTGAGACTGGAATACATATATAATCCTAAGCAACGCTAGCTTTAAAACCAAGATCAAGACTCGACACACGGCAACAGACTGGACACCATAAAATAACATAAGGATACTAGCATGCAACCTAAAACCACAAGATAGGATAGTAACAAGGCTTAGCAACAAACAAGGCAATAATATGGCTCAACAACAATAACAGACAGTAACAACACACATGCCCATGTTCCAACCTTATACCAAGTTCAAACCTTTACTCCTCTCCATCCTTATATCAGTTCCAACTTGTACCTCCAGGCCACCCTTATACTGCCTCCCGTATTCCTCCAGAGCACGCATGCTCCCCATCGACATACCGCCAACAAAACCACCGATTTGATAGAACCGCAGTACCATTAACACATGATCTGTGCCTTGGAGGGTCTCCTCGGCATTGTTTGGGCGAACTCGGGGCGGGTTACGTCTCGGGGCTTTGACTTTCCCGGCGAACTTTCCAGCGATTTTCCAGTGATTTTTTTTGCGACTTTTCCGCTGAGTACGACGAACGGCGGGGTCACGGTGGTTGTTGGCTCGGTTATGGCTCGGGGAACGTGGAACGTGGGTCTCGGCTTCACGTCGGTTGGAGGGTGGTAGCGGTGTTGCGGGGTCGTGCGGCTGGGTTGGTCGCAATGGTGGTGTGACGCTGGTGGTTCGCCTGGGGCAGCGGGTCTTTTCCGGCGGGGGGTGGCTGGGTGGTCGACGGCGGTGCGGCGTGGGTCTGGGGGTTTTTTTTGGCCGAAGTGAGAGATGGAGGAAGTGGGAGAGAGAGAGAGAGAAGAGAGGGAAGAAGGAGAATGGTTTTTGATTTGGGGATTTTGGGTTTTAGGGATTTGGAATGGGGGTTAAGAAGGTTTTGTCCCCTTTAAGTTTTAAGAAATAATGATGGTTCAATAGTTATGGTATAGGTTTGGTAATCAAAGGTTCATGGTTTGAATTTCACTAGTGACATTAGAGTTTTTGGTGCACTCCTTTTATGTTCTTGAGGGTTTTTACCATTCGTTTGTCTCAAGGTGGGAAAATTCCGAGTTAGGCTTTATAATTGCATACTTAAGTTTACCAAGTATTGGTTTTGGGATTTCGTAGTTTATAAGAGACACAAATTAGTTTCTAATTAGCCCGAGGGGCGCAGTAAGAGAATTAAACTGGTCGAACTAATTAATTAATTTTATTAAAATACGGGGATCCTAAGTAATCGAACTAAGTATGCGGTTTTTCGATAAAAGAGGGTAGCTTACAAGGATTCACATCTCTCTATCCTAGACAGAATTCTTCTTCTGGGTTTTCTTCCAATTGATTCGTAGGGTCCTTGTCTTCCAAGGCCACGTCTTCGGTGTCGATTCCAGCCTCGGCTTCAGCTTCAATGCCGGTTTGGGTGCGACTGATGACGAACACCTTCCCGGGTGCCCTATAGCTTCCCTGGTTGTTCGTATTCCCTTGTTGCATCGTGATCGAGGGTCTCGCACTTTTGGGTTGGTTGCATTGGAAGGCTTTGTGACCTCCTTCCCCGCAATTGTCGCATCGTAAGGCGTTCCCTTGGCAATCTTTGCCCCGATGCTCCTTGCCACACCTTCTACAAGGGAATTGTCTTCCGCAGTTCCGCTAGCCTCATTGTATTTTGTCGGTGGTCCTTAGATTAGTGGGTTAGCCGCCCTTGCGTTGGAATCGTTTTTTGCCACTTTAAGTTGGGGCCTCCACTTTCGTTATTCCTTGTCCTAACCTGTTCCTGGACTCCCCGTTGTAGTAGTTGGATCCGGTAAAGGTCGGTGGCACTAGCATAGGCTTCGTTGAGGGTTCTTGTTTGCTTACGGTTAAGACTTTCCAAGCCTCAAAGTTGAGACCCGTAACGAATTTCTCTACCTTAGTTGTCTCTGTAGGCACCAACTCGGGTGCGAAACGGGCCAGTTCTAGGAATCGCTTGTGGTATTCTACCACCGTAGCGATTCCTTGTTTCAGGTGAAGGAATTCCTCGTACATGATTGCTTTTACGTGTGCGGGGTAAAAACGTTCCCGCAACCGGATCTTTAAGGTCTCCCAGTTGAAACCAGGTTCCTGTCTACAGGTAGGTCCTTCGTGAACCCACCATAGATCGGCCTCATGTCCAAAGTAGAATGACGCTAGCTCGACGCGGCGTTCCTCTGAGTATTCCACTACCTCGAAGATTTTGTCGAACGTTCGGATCCATTCCTCGAGCATCGTAGGATCTTCTTCTCCTGCTAAAATAGGTGGGCGATGGTTTGATTCTTGGCGAGCCACATCGTGGTTCCCGTTCGGGGGTGGCCGGTTGTTGTTATTAAGGATGTCGTTGCTCAGTGTCTAGGCGACCTGAGTTAACTGTTGTAGGTTCTGGGTTAACTGATCGTGGGTAGGGGGCTCAGGGGTCCTTGCCTGGTTTCTCGGTGGTACCATCCCGGTTTCTACAGGGTCAACACCGATCGTAGATGTAAGTCAGGGCTTGCACCCTTACCTTGGAGCTTTAACTATAAGAACTTTAAACTAAGCAAAGAGTAGATTAAGGGAAAAATAAGCAGGAAATGGTTAATAAACTCACATCCTTACCGCGCGTCCTAAAATTCTTAAGCCCTAAGTACTTAAGTACTTAGAGTTCAAGCTTAACGTCCTAAAGTCTTATCTTAAAGGCCTTATCCTAGGGTCGAACTTAGGCTCTGATACCACCTGTAACACCCCTAATTTTTAAAACTTTTAGGCTTATGAAATAAAGGCAATCTAACATTAATATCCCAAACAGAGCAGGGAATACACAATAAAAGTCGGGGTGCTATGCCACATCTAAGCTTGAGAACTTAGATGCACAAGCTAACTAACTAAACAGAACATAATCCAACAAAACCACCGATCTGATAGCACCGCAGTACCATTAACACATGATCTGTGCCTATAGCACAATAATCAAGGGGTCAGGGCCTATAGCACAATGACATGGCACCGCATTGCCAATAACTTGATCTATGCCTTTACAACACTAATCAAGGGGGGTCTGTGCCTATAGCACAATGATCGAGCACTCGTTGTGCCAAACCGCCAACAAATCTTTTCAACCAATCCCATCTCTTTTCTCATCATGGACAAATCAATCACAACAACCAATGCTCAATGATAACAGCAACCATCAACACTCAGTCGACAACATTAGTCAATACTCAACAACAACAACCATCGAAGCTCCACAACAACAATAACCAATACTCATCAACACATTGCAAGGGGGTAGTCAAAGGGAAGGCACACGACCACGTAGACCTTCATCAGCAGTTGACATCAATACAATCACACAACCCACGAGACACGACCCAAACCCTACTTCCCAAGACAACAAGACAACCACGAGGCACATACAGGATCATACAAATCTCATCCTAGGCCAACGGAGTACTAACTTAAACCGCACACAATAACCACACTACTCCTAAAACGGTACCCGAAATATCAAACGAGGCTCATAAACATCAAACAAGGCACAACGGGGCACGGGGAAATGACAAACGGGGTAAAACAGCACAACACACCGCCCGTACCAGCGGGTGGTCAGCGGTGGGCGGCCCTGTACCAGCGGGTACACGGTGGGTGGTCGTCCACCCGCCGCCCACCTGTTGGTACAATAGACGGGTACTGGCGGGTGGTCAGGTGGGGATTCGTCTCCCCACCGCCCCCCCGCTGGTACGATGGTAACCTGGCACTTTCCCAACTCGGGAATTCCTCCATTACACCCAAAATCAAGTCCAAATACACCCCAACACATAACCACAACAATAGAGACTTGAACACCAAGAATTAGACCAAGAAACCAACACAATTAGATTCTAAATACATTCTCCTATCATATCAGGACTCAAGAATCAACTCCTAACCATGCAAGAACAACAAGAACCTCAAGAACATCAAGACTCTATCAAATAAACCATAATGTCAAGCTCTAGACACGCCTAAACGCAAGATCATACATATAATCAATCACGAGCATCGAGATCATCAAGATTATCAAATAAACACAACATAAACCCTAAGCAAAGCTCTATTAAGACTCAATCACAAGACCACACATACCATATCAAAGGAGCCAATCATTAAGATATAGTAAGGAAAATAGGTTTTGTAAGACATGGGTTACCTCTTAGCCTTAATTAATCCTCCCTTGGCTATTAAGGTTCTTTTCCAAGATTTTCCTCCGATTGATCTTCCTAGGCTTGGTGGTTGGGAATTCCTTTTGCTAGGTTTCTTGGGCAATTTCGTGTATTAGAGTTATGAGAGGTGAGAGAGTTCTAATTGCTTCCTAATCCCCTATTTATAGAGTTAGGAATCCTAGTTAGAATCTGAATAGTAAAGGCCCACTTTCTATATTTCTAACGGGATTAAATACTTTATTATAGATAAGAGTCCATGGTCCTCCGTGGGGCACATTAATTAATTAAGGGGTCCTGATCAGATTAAATTCATTTTTAATTATTCTTTAGCCGGATTAATTACATAATTAATCCAAGTTTGAGGATCGTAACACGGGCCCACATATCTACCTTTTGAGGGATCACTTACAAGCCGGTTTCCCGGGCGATGAGTTACCGCCGACGAGCCCAACAGTCATGGAACAGCGGCCGACTGGCCATTCCAAGTCCTCAAAATATCTTGGCTCCCTGTCTATTGGAGGGTGCATCGGAGCTATGGACGTAAAGCTTTAGGCCACCGCTGGCGAAGAGGTAGTGGCCGGAGGGTTGGAAGTCTAGCCCTGACAGGCGTCGGTGGTAGAAATGATAGGCGGTTGTGGTGAAGACATGGTGGGAAGTGAAAAGAAAGCAAATGAAGGATGGAAAAGAAGGCTAACCTTAAAAAAAGACGGCCGGAGAAGACGATGAAATTGACTCGGGAAGGGAAGAACGCCGGCCGCAGGAAAAGAGAGTGAAAGGCGGTGAAAAGGAGGTTATCGCCAGAGGTTTTGCGAGATAAGAGTAGAGAAGTGTGGAAGAAGAGAAGAGAAGACGGATTAGGTATTTATAGATATGACCGGCTGACCAGATCATGCCATATGTACTCGATCGAACGGCTGGGGGAATGACGTAACGTCTGACAAGATGGTTACGAAAAAGAGTGTCTCGAGACTGTAACCGGCTGGAAAGGAAGGGTTGCCATAATTACAGGCTCAGTAGTCGGAGTGTCCCTATTTCGGTGCCTTAGCCGCCCTAGCCTAGCAACCTAGCTAGGCAGTCAGCGTGTCCCCGACCAAGTGCGTGCTCCAAAGGCGGTTGATGGCGAATTCTGCCGAGATTTCTTTCCTTGTCAAACAAGTAGCTTCTGTTTCTTAATTTTAACAGTTACCGCATTAATTAAGGTAGATTCCAAAGCTTAGTTAGTTACTTTCTCACCCTTCTTTCTTTACGGAGGATCTATTGACTTGTATAAATACCCCTCCGGGGTCACCTTGTAAAGGGTCGGATTATTGAATAACATACAGTTACTCTACTTCTTTTTCGGCATCAATTACTTTGTTTCTCTAACCTAGTATTGATGCACCTTTAGTGTTAAACATGACACACCTTAAGTGTTACAGGGACACACCTTAAGCTATCGAAAGGTGAACCTAAAGCTTTATAATGACGCACCTTAAGTTTCAACAAAAAACGCACCTTAAGCTCTCAACTGAAGAATTGACGCACCTTAATCACAGAAATCACGCACCTTAAGTGTAAAAAAGACGCACCTTAAGCTATGGAAAGACACACCTAAAGCTTTATACCGATGCACCTTAAGTTTTTACAAAAAAATGCACCTAAAGTTCTCAACTGAAGAACTGACGCACCTTAAGAACATAAACCACACACCTTAAGTGTAAAAAGGACGCACCTTAAGCTATGGAAAGACGCACCTAAAGCTTTAGACTGACGCACCTTAAGTTTCAACAAAAAAATGCACCTGGAGTTCTCAATTGAAGAACTGACGCACGTTAAACACAGAAACCACACACCTTAAGAAGGAAAATGACGCACCTTAGGCACACAAAAACTACACACCTTAAGTTTGACCTAAACGCAAAAAGACCAAATTGCCACCGCGTTTTATTTTTAATATATGTTCCATCTAGACGGTTGATTTTCGCGAGGTCAGCGGCTATCATTTGACCGCATCTTTCACCTGGCACAATATCCGCATGTGATGTCTATTATACACACACACACACACACACACACACATACAAACATACATTTTTATCGTAATATATATATGTATATTTTTCGAAAAAAATCATCAAAACCTATTTTTGGCTGATGTGAGCCAAATTGTACATGTTTCTAGTATTAGTTTGATCATAATTGTTGGGTCTAAGTTCATGAAATTGTTACTTTAATTGCATATTCCCTTTTTTATCATTAAGATATGGTTTCACACTTGATTTGAAGGTTTTACGGTGTTTGTTAGTATTTTGGAACCATTGTAGATCAATTGCAAAGGCAAAGGGAAGTTCTAAGACAAGTTTGGAGCCGAAACAAATTCAAGATGAAGCTAAGGAGGTCGCTAAAATGCTTCAAAGAAAGCCAAAGAATGGTACTTTCAATGGCTTTGATCACAAGAACAAAACAAGGGAAAAGTGGAGCAAAAGACCAAAGAGTTGTAATTCCCGCTGAATTTGGCGACACCTTAGTATTTTGATCATATCTCATGCTAGGAATGTCCGATTCAGGTGATTCTCACGCCATTGGAAAGAAGACTCGAAGGGATACAATCTATGTTGCATCAGAAAACTTGATGCATCGAGTTCCGAACTCGATGCATCGAGAAATTCCGAAATGTTGCGCGAAGATTATGCTGAAAACTCGATGCATCGAGTTTTGACTCGATGCGTCGAGAATTCTATGCAGATTTTGGAATATTTGCGCAGAAACTTCCTAATTTATCCCTCACTTGATTCATGCTAAAAAAGCCCGCCATCCTCAACCCAAGAAGACTTCTAAGCTGCGTTTTGAAGACAATAAAGAGGAGAATCAAGAGCTACAAGTTGTGTTGGGAAGAAAGAAGAAAAGCTAGGGAGATTTGGGAGAATCACTTGGTCTATTCTTTTACTCTATTTGATAACTTGTAAACTCTTTATTTTATTGCTATTAATTCCATGTTAGCCATGTGTGGCTAATTTATCTTAGAGATTCTTGGGTAAAAGTGTTTATAAACCTATGTGCCTGTGTTCTCAGATTCTTTAATATATTAATATTTGGGTTTTATACTTGTTTTGTAATTGTGATTTATATTGTTGATGCTTTTAATTAGTGGCCGTAGTTACTTTTTTCATAGCTATCTTTGTGTCATAACGGGAGTTAGGCATAATTTAGGGCACCCACAATTGCACTTAACTATTGCACCTTGGGAGATGGCATATTGGTTAAGGAAGTTAATTCTTGATTATTGCACATCGGGAGATGGTAGTAGTTAGAAATTTATTATGAATGCTTTTTCTTTCATGGATGAGTGTTTATATCACGGGAGTGAATAGCCACTTAGGTTAGAGATTACGGGAGTAACTCTTTCCCTTATTTGCACTCTCACACTTGTTTAAACCCAGATTTAATATTGTTCTTTAGATTGGAACTAGGTGATTAAACACTTGAATCCTAGGAATCTCACACACTCTCTCTATTGTTTTCACAAACCTGCTACTTTACTTTCTTTTAATTAGTTTTATAAACATATAAAACAACCATCCATGATATTCATTATGATTAGCTTCACAAGAATAAATTAGTAGTTAGTGCTTGATACGCCCTACTTCCATGTGGATTGATAACCTGATACTCCGGGTAATTATTTGTTTAAAAATATACTGCAACCAAATTGGCGTCGTTGCCGGGGAAGTGATGTTTAAGTATTGACATTAGTGAAAGTTTTATTCTAGGAGGATTATTGCCTTTGAACCTTGAGATTGAAAAGCGAGCCAAGTTCCTTAAAAAGCAAAGGAGGATGACACAAGACCCGTTAAACATCAATTTGAACCTTAATGGAGAGGGGGATGATAATGGAGTCAATCAATCACCACCCCCAGTGAGATCCATGTCAGATTACATTGCACTTGATGTTGAGGAACATGATAGCATCAATGTACCAGGTGTGCAAGCCAGCAACTTTGAAATCAAGCCGACCATCTTACACATGATTACTTCTGATTAATTTGGAGGGTCACCCACGAAGGATCCAAATTCCCATATCACAAATTTCCTCCGAATATGTGGCACTTTCGAAATCAATGGAGTTCCTCAAGAAGCCATCAAGCTCTGATTGTTTCCCTTCTCATTAAGGGATAAAGCTCATGGTTGGCTCATCTCACTCCCAGCTAACCATTTTGATACTTGGGAGCAACTACATAGGGAATTTTTGAAGAAGTTCTACCCAATCTCCAAGACTCAAAGGATGAGAAGGGCAATCCAAAGTTTCAAGCAATTGGCAAGTGAATCTCTAACTGAGTCTTGGGAGAGATTTAAGGAGCTAAGATGGCAGTGCCCACACCATGGCTTCCAAAATTGGGATTTAATGATGGCATTTTATGAAAGCTTTCTTGAAAATTCAAGAATACTAGTTGATGCTTCTTCGGGTGGGTATCCACTGTGTTGCAACCAACTCGATCCGAAGAACTATAGGAGAAGATCGCAATGAATGGTTCAACATGGTACTCGGAGAGATATTTCCAAAAACTTGTAGGAGGAATGCATGAGGTGGAGCAAATTTCTGCCTTGTCAGCTAAGATGGACAACATGGTTTCTATGGTACAAAAGCCAGCCCAAATCACTCTCAAAAATCAAACTGTAAGTTATTTTTCTACTCATCTCCTCCTACTACTTCAACTCAAGTTTTGATGTGTGATCTTTGTGGTAGAGGACACAATTTGGGGCAATGTCTTAATGATTCTAGTTCTCAACCCCCATGGAGCACATTAATTTGGTAGGATACAATAGGCCACCTCAACAATCCGTTCAACCTCAAGGGGCCTATAATCCAAACTCCTCAAGAAATCACCCAGGTTTTTCATGGAGCAATCTAATGGGGGCTGCTAATCCCAATATTTTAATAATAAAGGACCACCAGGTTTCGAAGGGTAACAATTCCAAGGTATGCAGTCTCAACCTAAACCTCCTTTACCTACTTTGGAAGCTCCACCTCCACCGAATTTGGAAGCTATGATGAACATGTTGCTAAAATATCAATTGCAAAGTGAAGAGAGATTTAAGCAAGTGATGGAGAGGTTGGATCAATTGAGTGCTCACAATAGGATGCTAGAAAATCAACTT